AAATATAGGTGTATCTGCAACTGTATTTGATAATGTTTTGAACTTTTAAAACATTGCATGGTAAAAACAGAAGCTGCACTTCATTTACTGTAAGTGACAAACTTTGGCATTTTTTGATGGGTTACCTTCATTTTTGCCTCTAGCTTTCATTTAAAATAGTTTCCATTCTGGGCAGTTTTCAGGTTCTTCTTTTACATATTAAAAAGTTGTTAAACATCTGAGTGGTGCACTACTGCTGCTAGTGGTGAGAAAGTGTATTGCACCTTTTTCAAAATCAATGCGGTCCCACGGCCCTCTGCGGCCCAAAGTTAAAAACTGTTTTTCTTTTGAGGCCCTCAAGGTGGCGCTCGCGGCCGGCTCATGGGTTAAGAATCTCTGATCTATTGCATCTTGTAGTTTGCAAAAATAAAATGAAGGTGACCTTAAATGTCTTGGTTAGTTTCTGTTTTTCTCTGCACAAAGCCCAACTGTCCCCATTTGAAGCCAATCTTGTTTGTGAGGGCTTCAAACATGAGCCACACACACACATCTCTTGAACCAAACATAAAGTAGGACAGATTTCCCCCCCAATATCCTTCTGTACAAACAAGCCTCTTTCAATCTGCTAACGAGCTCTGTGACGCGACGTTGCTGACTTCAAACCTACTGAACGGACAGAATAAAGATAGCACAGCTTACTTCAGAATGCACCAAATCAAAAACCTTTCTGAATTCTGAAAAGCTGTCAACCGCAAATAAGACGGAGACACACATGCTCAGACCGAGGTTATGACATAACACCACGATTGGACACGTAATGTGGAAGTCGCTGCCCAGAGGCAGCAGAAAGCCTGTTCCAGAYGCCGGAACCGAGCTCTCCCCAGGCAGGCAGGAGGAGTGCAGCACACCTGCGCATCTCGTTTCAACTGACCAAGCTTTACAGAGGTCCGCCACACTGTGTGCATGAGCAAACACAGGCGCACACGCATATAGCATTACATAAGGAATGACAAGACAATAAGGCAAGAGCACCAAATGTTCCCCTGGAGGAATATTACATCCACACAGGCCTTAATGTGATTGAAAAGGATGAATAGTGCATTAAACCTGACTGGGGTTTGGTGTTATCCTTCAGAGTGTAAATCAGATTCCAGTGGGGGGCGGGGGGTCTAACCTGCCAACCCAGACATCTCTCACATATCTGCTTAATGCAGAAGCCCTGTGAAGCTGCAGCTAGCTGCTGTTTCTTCATGTTGAATCTATAAGCTGTTTTGTTTTTTTACAGTCACTTTTGTAGAGCGACATGATGGATCAGTGGTTAGAACTGTTGCTTCACAGCAGGAACATCCTGGGGCCTTTCTGTGTGGAGTTCCCATGTTCTCCTTGTGTTTGTGTGTGTGTGTGTGTGTGGGGGGGGGTGTGTGTGTGTGTGTGTGTGTGTGTGTGTGTGTGTGTGTGTGGGGGGGGGGGGGTGTGGAAGCTTTGGTTTCCTCCCACAACAAAACATGCATGTTTTCAGTAAAGCTCTCAGGAAGTAATCATGAGCTGTAAATTTAAAAGTGGTTGCCTAACTCAATATGACTGCCAAAMCTATTCAACGTAAGCCTACCCCCCCAAAACACTAGATATCAATCTATAATTTGGTGTAATAGTAGCCGAGAATCATTCACAGCACATCCTCCAATTATTAATCCATGACAACAAACTTAGGGTTATTTTCAGTGGCGGATCTAGGATTTTTCTGTGGAAGGGGCCATCAAAGGGCCACAATATTCATGGACGGGCCAAGTATTTGTTCAACATACTTGCACATAAATCCTCAGTTTTGATAAGGTGTATAAATTTAAGTGGCCACATATGTTCAAACAATTGTAACATAATGTAATGTTATTAAAAAAGCTTCCTTATTAATGTTACATGCATTTTTACTGTACATGGATAAAATATTCTCAAAGCACGTGAGAAAATGAAGCCTATGTTTGCCAGTTGAAAGATATTTTTTGCAAAATTGTTCAAGTCTTTTAAAGAAGAGAGGAAGTCTTTTGTAAGCTTGATTCATGCTGGACTTTACTGTTTGACTCATTAGCGCCTCTAGTGTTTGAACGTGGAACTGCAGCCACCACCATTGCTCTCAGGCAAAGGACAGACGAGTGACAGGACAGGGGCACTTCAGGGGGCTAATCAGATTTCAGCAGGGGCCAATGCCCCTGTGACCCCGCCCCTAGAACCGCCCCTGGTTATTTTCAAAGTTTGACTAAAACTACAGTTATTTTCATAAAACGATTTATTTTAAAACTCCGGCATCAAAGACAGCATGCTGTAAACATTCCATCACAGAATCCTTTGCTTTTATTTTAAAGAGGGTCTTATGTCATTGATTGTTGCACTTAATTAAAGCCTTTTCTTGGTGTCTGCAAGTTAAACCGTGGGGCTCTACTCTATAAAGCAGATGAAAAATTTCATTTAGTCTGTGGATCACCAACATCTCTTTTAGTAAGGTGGTCCAAAGATGAAATTACATGACAAAGTTGTTTTGTTTTATTATGACTCCCCTCTTCCTGTGTGGGGGTCGTTATCTTTACATTCTGTTTATTTATGTATTTTTTTCAGTGATATTTGGTCAACCATATCACAAAAACAGCTGCAACAATCAACATGAAATTTGGCAGGACTGTAGAAGTGTCTGACCTACACTGCACTAGCCAACGGTTTTACAATAGACCCCATAGTTGAGAAGGGTGGTCCATCTAAATAGGGGGTGTGTGGACGTGCAAAAATGCTTARAACTCAAAAATTATTCATCATAGGAGCTTCAGAATTTTTATTTATTCTTTTCTTGTTTAGCTCTGATGCGGGGCTATCCATTTAGCCCACCAAAGAGCCCCACTCCTACTCTCCCAGACCCCCACCCCACTGACAAGGGGGTGTCTGGACTAACAAAATTACCCATAACTGAAAGACCTTTCAACATAGGAGCTTCAAATTTTTTTGTTGTTGTTTAGCWCTGATGAAGGGCTATCAGGCCCACCAATGAGCACCCACCCGTCTCCGGACC